TTTTTGTATAAGCTGTGCTCAATATATGAGAAGAAGATAAGAAAAAATGTACATTTTATAAATATTTGTTCAAATTTGTGTATTTGTATTGCCGACCTCTGTGCCTTATGTGAGCTGTGAGAGCGCATTTCAACTATAAGCTTTTGTGCACTTGCAAGATCCTTTTTTGTTTTGAGGTAAATCGCAAGCAGTTAGGTCTAGGAACAGTTGTTTTAACATTTTCTTGTTGATTGTCGGACTCAAGGCTAAAATTACTTTTTTTCACTCAATCGGTGATCCCAGTGTTGTAGCAGGTATAGATATGTGATGGGTATTGATATGTGATAGTTTTAAAAAGCTTTTTTCATATAAAAGATCCAATTAGAGAACTTTCTTTGGCTTCATAAAGGATTATATTTAGCAGTTCTAGTAGGATCCCAATTTTGGAGATCAACTACAGAACCTAACCTAACCTAAACTATTATCAGTCGCTTAGGCTGCATTTAATTGGAAGTGACATTTATGTCGAAATTAAAATTTCGTGTCCCCGAGTACCCAAATTCAAATTTAAAATATTAAAGTGTGATTCATAAAGCCCTCATTAGATTTCTTTACCAACTGTATTACAGTGCGTCGTACCCTGTGCTATCGCATAACCTACAAACAATTTTCATTTTCACAGAAATAATTTTTCGTAACATAAATTCCTTTAAATCAATTCAGATATAGTCTTAACTGATAAAATACTATAAATAATGTTAATTTAATGTTTATGCTCGAAAGATTCTCATTTCAGAAGCTTTGTCGCGAACTATGGTAGTTTATATCCCTATTATGTAAAGAAACTAGTATACAGTTGCCTGACTACTACTCATGGTTGCTCTAACAGTATTTTATGTTGCCCATTGCCACTGAACACATTACTAACCCTGCTGCTCGGAAACAACATTTCTGAGTTTACATTTAGCACTTTATAAAATAAAATTTTGTCTAAGGTTGTTATACTGGATCTACTTGTCATGTATAATATAGTTATAAATAAGGCTTTTAGTTTTTAAAATAGCAGAAAAAAAGATTAAAAGAATTTCTACTTTGAAAAATATATAATAAAAAAAAATCAGCATCATATATAGTGGATTTGTTGCAGGTCTTCAGCCTCTCCAATAAATAGAGGTCTCAAAACACGCTGTACCCGAATAGCTCTAATTTTACGTTTTTCCGCGTCCAAAAAAATTCAGAAATTTGACATTAACTGTCTATGAAAATTCTTGAAATTTGCCACTTTTCATATATGACTGCGGTATAGTGAGTAAAATCATAGTGAATCTGAAAATCATTTCTGAAAACAGAATATGAAGATTTTCTTTCGTCCCGTTGACTTTTCAGGATATTTTATATATCAGTCAATATATATTATATATAAGTTTATTTCTTAGTTCGTCTATTATCAGATTGGGCTACTATATCATATAGCTGTCATACAAATTGGCCGACCGAAATCAAGATATAGATCTCTATATACCCTTTTATGTCATAGGAAGGGTATTATAGGCGCGGTGTAGTCGAGATTAACATATCTTATTCTATATATATAATATAATATATGGTATATATATACCTCTCCTTTTTTTCGTTACCACTAATGTAATTGCAATGAGTTGCTTGTGCTAATTTCCCATTTCTCTTTTAATTTATCAATTACTCAACGAAAATGCAAATCACAAGCGAATTAATGCGCTTCTAAAGAATTCACTAAATTCGGCAAATGCACCAGAGCAATTCCGATTTCATTCATTAAGCTGGGAAACAATGCAGCAGCTCAGATCCCCTCCTCTCATTACTCCTCTGCTTACCTTACCACTAGAAGCACTAAAATGTAATGAGTAAGAAAAAAAGAGAGTGCCGAAAAGAAAGTGTCGCAACTCTTCGCAGCCGCTCTGTGCCGAATAACTGTGTTGGAATGGAAATGAGGATGCAAATGTGAATTTTGGCAAATCGTCAAGAAAGGCTTGAGCGGCAATTTTTGGTTGGCAGAATATTACATATGTATGTTTGGGTGTTTTTTTGTGCATATGTATATGTCATATATTAGGCGTATGTGTAAGAAAGGTTGAATGCCAGAAAAAGCAGTAACACGATATTAATGTTGGCAAATGTGCCAAAGCAAAAGCCGCAATGACTAGAGATAGCAGCAGGAGATATTTTGCGCGAGAAGCACTGCCAAAACACAAAGAATAAGTAGAAAAATAAGCATACAAAAAGTTAAAGCATAAGGGAGTAGGCAATGGGGCAAATGCTTGGCTCTGCGCCTTCGGGCAAGGACGAATGCCTGATATGGCACACTTTGCAAACAAATTTTTTACTTCTGCCTCGCTTTTCGCACACTTTGCGTATGTTTGTGTGTGTAAACATACACATATACAAATGCACTTTTCATACACACTCAAAATTCTATGTTTGTATTCGTATGCACATGTGTGTGTGTGTGCTTCAGCAGGCATCGCTCTTCTATCGCAATTCCGTGATTTTCCTATCTAAAGCCATTTCTTTGATAATCTTATCATTTTCCAACACTTTATTTTTGTTTCACGCGTCAATGGCTTGATTTAACTGGAAAGCTATTGACACATTGTACAATATTTGAAGCCATTAAAGTGAAAACAATTGCCGCAATGCAGCAAATGTGGGATCACAAGTGGTATGAGTGTGTGTCAGCTGCTGAAATTGGCCATAAAATTAGCGAGCTAACGGGTTTTTATAACACACGCATAAGTAACATGACTTGCCGTTATTTTATTTATAAGAAAAATATTTTATGCTGTGGGAGAAATTGAACTTATTACGCAGGGGAAGCGAAATGTAATTCACAATTTTTAATAATAATTTTAGAAACTCATATAAATTTGTTCAATTAAAAAATATATATACGCTAAAAAATTATTATTTTTTTAATTAACTAAATGTAGATACTACCCTATATATACTCGTAAATATATGTATTTCCTATATAAGTACTATCTCTAAATATATGTTATTTTTGTATTTCTCTCTATGTGTGTAGCCCTTACTGTGCACTAACCCATATTAACCCTAACTTTACTAACAAAGTTATATAATTAAATCAATGTTGTGTGTAAATGTGTTTAATTGACTAAAATTGTATTTGATAAAGTCACTTCAAATGATTGTATAACCCTTGACCTTTGTAAAATGGCTTATTAATTAAATACATATAAAAACTTAAGAAAAAAATAATTAATAAAATATAATTTAATATATTTTATTTTTAAATCACAAATATAAATATAACTAAAATGCGATTTTTTGTTGTTGTTTATTATTCTTAATATTTTTTGTTTTCGATTTGTGGTTTATTATTTATATAACATTTTTTTTACAAAAATGAACACAAAATTTGAGTTAAAAATAAAAAAAAACTCTCCAAAAAATGTTAAATTTTAGTAGACAGTAAGATTTGAATTAATATATTTACTAAAATAAAATAAAAAAACAACACAAATTAAAAAAAATATCAGTATATTAAATGTTTAAAGTCTTAAATTTACTTGCAATATATTTATGAAAATTAAACCAAAAAAAAAAACGAAATAAAATTTAAAAAAAATTATACAGCAATTATAGAAAATATGTGTTGAGAATTTAAATAAATTATTATTTTTAACAAAATCTTTTACAAATGAGATTTAAAAGCAGTATAACTTCTTTTTGTTATTTGTTTAAGTGGCGTTTGTTCAAATAATATACACAAAGAAATCGTTTCGACAGTAAAATATTTATTTAAAAACAAGAAAAAACGTAAACTTTCGCTGCAACGAAGCTATAATACCCTTCATAGTTGCATTTCTTATAACAAAAAAGGGTATGAAAAGATCTTGATCTTGATTTGGATCGCTCAGTTTAGGTGGCAGCTGTATGCTGTAGTGGTCCGAACCCAACAATTTCTTAGAATATTGTGCCGTTGATTTTGGCAATAAAAAATGCCGAATTTCATGAAGATATCTCGTCAAATGAAAAAGTTTTCCATGCAAGCACTTGTTTCCGATCGTTCGGTTTGTATGCCAGCTATTTGCTATAGGAATACGATGTGAAGAATTTCTTCGGAGATTGCATTTTTTCCTTAGACAATAACACATGCCGAATTGCGTGAAGATAATTTGTCAAATAAAACAGTTTTCCATAAAAGGACATGTATTTGAGAGAAAAAGACGTGCGCAAAATTTCAGATTGATATCTCAAAAATGGAGGGACTGGTTCGGTGTATGTATTTGTATAGCATGACATGGTTATTTATACGGTCTCCCACATTTCCTTTTGAGTGTTACAAACTTCGTAGTAAACCTATTATAAGCTGTTCAGGGTAGAAAATATCTTTGCTTAAATAAATACAGTAAAATAAATTCTTTTTAAATTTTTATAGTTTGAAATTAAATTTGTTAAAAAATGTTTGAATTATGTTTATTCTTACTTAACTTTTTTAATTTTACTATTGTTGTTATTTTATGTTTTCACTGGAGTTTTTATTTTTATTAATTTTTATATATTTTTATATTTAGTTTTACTATATACTTTTATTTTTTTTTAATAAATCTAAGCAATTTTTTTTATTTAATATATTGTTGCAATTTTTCTACTACATCAAATACTAGTTCAAATCTAACCCTTAAAAAGCCCCGGCAATATGCGCATTTAATTAAACTAATTGTTACATAAGTGTACTTGTATATATGTATAACTGAATGTTTGTTTGTCTATATGTACTCATAAATAACTGTGGAAAAGCAACAAAATATGCCAAAAGCCTCTGTAGTATACTAATAAGTGTAAAATCTAATGTGTCACCTAGTTCGCTTGATTATACTGTCTGTATGTATGTATCTATGTCTGTATGTTTGTATTGTATGCCATTATACATAACTAGATATTTATCAATAGCAACGAAATCAAATTTAATTGAACTCAATTTTTCTCTTCTCTTCAAATGCATGCTCTCCGCCGCACAGCCTTTACTACTACCAACACCAGATCATCCAAATATGAATGGTTACAGTCGCAAGTCACCGTCGAAGCGTCGCTATGAGGGCTCAAAGTATCCGGGTAAGTGCACTACAATATAACTGTATTGGAGCGGAAGTTTTCTCGTTTCCGTCATGACTTTAAACTAGCTAACTAACTAGCTGGCTGTCGGTCGCCAGCTGCTTGCTGCTTGACAAGCTAGCTGTTTGGCTGACTTGCTGGCAGTATGAGTTGCATAAAGTTGCATAAAGTTGCTGACAGCCACAATTGCCATTTTTGTTGTAGTCTTGTTGTTGGCAGCGATGCTTTCAAGTGCTTCCGCTTTTGGGGTAATTAATTTGCTTTTGTATGCCATGCATTTCCATTTTTAAGTATTTATTATGCATTTAAATATGTTGTTTTTTTTATTGCTGTTTCCCCATTTTTGTTGTTAGTATTGCCGAAGAAGAAGCCACGCACGGGCAAGGAGCGCATACCGCAACCGAAGAACACCGTCGCCATGCTGAATGAGCTGCGTCATGGCTTGGTCTATAAGCTGGAGTCGCAAACCGGGCCGGTGCATGCACCGTTATTCACTATATCCGTTGAGGTGAGTGTGGCGAATAAATATATGTATATAGATATTTTTTATTTATTTCATTGCATTTTGCGCTCTCTCTCTATATAACCACTTAATTTTTTGCGCGTTCTCGTTTGTGTCGTTAGCGTTTCAAATGTTTCAATTTTAATGAAATCTGCATCATTGCATTTGAAGTGGCGCGCAGCTCGAAAGGTTTGGGGCAGGGTTCGGCAGGGTTGTGTTGGCTGTGGTGCGTTGCCAAAAAAAATTTTCACATGCAACGAATTTTTTAGCGCTTTCGTTGCCTGTGTCTGTGACTGTGTTTTTGGCTGGAGCGCGTGTGGGTGTCGGCGCTCAGCTCTGCATTTCGATCAATACTTGCGCATCGCATTTTTACCGTTTTTTTTACCGTCATTCGGTTTTCACGCTTTCGTTGCTTTGCGTATTTTTTATATAAATTGATTGCAACACCTCCGCGTGTACTAAATCTTCCACGTTGAAATATGTTAGTTCTCTCACGGATTAGTTTTTTTTTTTTTTTTTTTTTTTATAAATTTCTCTTGCTTCCCTTTCCGTTTTCAATGTATTTTTTATATACTAAACACGCGCGCTTACCACGCAGCTCTCGTGAATTGGCTTCTTCTTCAATATAGTTTAATTTAGCTATTTTTACTTCAATGGTTTTGTATATCCTTTTAAAAGACTTTCATAAATATAGTAAATTGAAAAGCTATTTAGCATCACTGTCGTCAAAACGCAATTTCTGTGAACACATTACGACGTCAAGGAGTATTAAATTCGAAATCGTAAAAAGAAATATTTTAAGCAGAATATATTTCGAAGAATTTAAAATATTCATCCATCAGGGTATAGAAAGCGCCTATGCAGCTTATAATGAGAGGCGTGAGAGTGAGAGTATATTATGATCAGGCTTAAAAAATTTAAAAGATAATATTCAAAGTTGTGATGAACTAGTTATTTCTCCAATGATAGACAATTTATTCTAATAATCTTCATGTTTCTAAAGAGTCTTTTATTTCTTCCCGAAAATAGTTATAGAATATCAGTGTCAAAATCTAAAATATGTGTTAGAAGATGTAAATTAACACTTATAATTTATGCTTTAAGTACATTTCTCTCACAATAAATATGAAAAAAATACGTTAGCTCCTTAAATAAAGTTTGAAACGAACTTCTAGCTAACTTTCTTAGAAACAACAAGGCAGTTTGTTGAGAAACTCGATCTCTAAAGAAAATCGACCATCTAAATATATAGCCTCAATAATTTTTCACCCTGCATACTGATTGGTGCAGTTTAGAAGTTCGGAAGTTATAAAATACTAAAGCTTACTTTGAGCTTAAAAGCTTTTAAGAGAAATTAAATTCGCTCTTGTTATCTCCAACTCGGCTCTATTGAATTTACTTACTTATTTTCCTAAATCATACTAGCGACTGCATTTTACATCTAAATTTTCAGAGCAATATTTTCGCTCGCGTAACTCTCCTGAATACGATCCTTTTTGATGCATCTCGACAACAGCGCCACCTGCTGAAAAAATGTTGTTTAGTTGCTTACTTTTTTTTAGCAAATGATAATATGATTTGAGTCAAATTGGTATTGAAATTGAAAATTAGGGGGTAATCTCTTTAAAAGTTAGGTTTCGCAAATTGCACAAGCTCTGGTTTTGATTTCAAATTGAAATATAAATGTTGAAATTTTAAAGAAACTCTGAAGCATGATTTTGTTATTAATTTAATTATGAATTTTGGAAGGATTTATTAGCTGCTCTCGATTCATTAAATCTACGAGAGTTGCGAATCGAACAAACAACTGTTTAGATTGGTATATATAAATAGAATAATATGCAGTTATACTACTTACTTGAGGTATTCATATCTCACTTGTACTGAATTCAACTGCATTTATATTTTTGAACAATCGAGCAGGTACCAAGCGGAACGAGCACAGAAGGGAGATACGAAGACGGCTATTGTCTCATCTGATGTTAATGAATGGCCGAGAATTAAAGAACGTGATTAATTTCATCAAAAGTAAAAAAGCAAAATCCACAAATCATTTAATCCATTGTCTCATTACATATATATGGTATAACATATATTAATGACATCTTCATATCCATCATTACTGATGGATAAGCTGACAACTTTGATTCGTTACGGCGGTTAATTAAGAAACTGTCTGTTATTGTTTGTTACTTACAAAAGTCGGTAAGTTGATATTAAAATTTTGTGGCATTTAAACCACAATTTTTCACACACTCACAAACATATATTGACAAGAGTCAAAGCAGCTTTTAAGCTTTATTGTGGTCATTTAAATGAAGAACTGATGAATGAATAAAGTTGGGTTTCATATTTTTGAGCAAACAAATCTCTTAAAGACCACAGCATAAGCACTTTTTCATCAAACAAAGTGTTTCAGAACCTTGCCAGCACCGTGGGTTAGTGTGAGCAATGCTGATGACTAGCGCAGCCTTTATGTATGTGTGTTCTCGTGTATAATAATAAAATCCAATCGTTTCAAAGAATCATTTCCGTTCATTGAACACAACAAACATTCAACCAGATAATCCTCAGAGCTTTTGATGGCATTTCAAAAGTTATTATGCCGTCGTTATACTACAAGCAAATTCTAAGCGTACATATACACCTTTGTATATACATATACAGTTAGTTATTGTCCTTGCTGTCGTCCGCAAAATACTAATTAACCTTAATGCTCGTGTGATCATATGCATGTGTGTCTATGTATGTGTGTTTGTTGATTTTTGTTGTGTTGATGCTTTTAATAGCTCAACATGCCATTCGCTGCTATACTCGTATTATCTTCGATTTCTGTCGGTGCTATAAATAACACAAACAAATATTGAATAATAAATTCGCACAACGGTCAAACACAGTCGGAACGACGGACGTTGATCAATGCTTACTTTGCACAGATATTTACACATATTAAGCATATCGGACACAAATAGTCGGTTCGACGACACATCGTGCTTTACTAGCTGAGTGGAGAGAAATGTACATTTGTATATATACTGAAGGACAAAATTGTTCATTTACTTGTTATGCGTAGATGATATTAGTATTAAAACAATTGATTGCACCTATTGGTGTTTCAACACCCGGCTAACCTCACTTTTTTATTAATCGATGGATTTATATAGAAGTGAGAACAATCGACTACTTGAATCCTGGTAGGAACCTATTTAGTTTTGAAGTAATAAAGTAATATTGGTTTAGAGAGAAATTTGACGTGGGATTAATCCATATTATATCAGTTGTTCCACACTTTTTGAGATATCGATATGAAATTTTACACACGTCCTTTTCTCTCGAATAAATAACTTATTTGTCGGAATCGCCGATATTGGATCACTATAACATATATCTGCTATACAAACTGAACGATCAAAATTAAGTTCTTATTTGGAAAACTTTTTTATGTGACAAGATATCTTCACGAAATTCGGCATAGATTATTTTCCAAGGCAACATTATAATCTCCGAATAAATTTTTGACATCAGATCCCCATAGCATATAGCTGCCATAAAAACTGATTAATCAAAATCAGGTTCTTGTGTGGAAATGACTTTTCTTTGACAAGATATCTTCGCGAAATTTGAAATATATTATAGCTCAAGGCAACGGTACAATCTCCGAACGAATTGTTCAGATCGGACAACTGTAATATCTCTTTTCCTTATTAACTAACCCTGATTCGATTTGAAGGTTGTTTATATCAAACAATGGAGCTAGAAAAAACTATTAAAATGTTTTCCGTTGAATGCAAGCCGTCGGCCGTTTACCTTTTCAAATTTAGTTATATGTATATAGTTGCTATAAAAAATGCTGCTGTGAAGGGTTTTATAGCTTCGGTGCAGTCGAAGTGAATTTTTTTCTTGTTCATTTATCAAAGTTTGACGAAACGAAGTCAGCTGGTTATGTTTTTAAAGTTAGCACGAACTAGTTTGAGTTCTAAGAACTTACTCTTATTTTGAATTAGGTGTTATATGCGAGTTATGCATTTATTTACATACATATCCACAACAATTTGCATGAAACACTTACATACAAATGCATACATGAAAGAGCGCGAACAAAAGGATTGCGTGTTCACTGACCACAAACTAGCTATAGTACTATGAAAATACATTTTATATATAACTACATACACATACATATACCTAAATACATATATATACCATATAAATATATACACAATATAGCGAGCCACAAGAAATGGCAGTCTAGCGAGGGCTCGCCTTTCCTTTAAATCCTCAACCAGATATATACATACAAATGCCTGTCCAGCATTAAAAATGCACAGTTATTTAATGTGTGTGAAATATTGTTTTTAAAGCTTTAACAGCGGTATTGTGAGTATTTAAAAATAAAAATACGAATTGAAAAAATATTTACATCCTCAATTACCATATGGACAAGTTAATCCGGTTGCGCGCACTTTAAAATCGACATGCATTCCATTAACTTGACGGAAATATTTATATTCTGTTAAAAAATGAAAACAATATGTTCGGGACCATCGTAAATTAAGTTGTATTTGCGGCTGGGATTCATGCTTGCGGTACCGTCAAAACATTTTTCCCTCGATTTGTGGTGTTAAGTTCATTATTTTTGATGTTGATTTAAGTTTGGTAATGTGTGGAGCCATTTTTAAGCTTTTACTTGAATGTGGAAGCAATTAGTAGAGTTTCTCTCAATATTCAATGTCACTTTCATTTGAGATCAAGTGATATTTTTAATGATGATGAACTAAATTTATTTGGCTAATAGACTAGATTAAACCAGAGCAATCGTTAAAAAACTTGATCACTGTTATATGTGCGCCATGTGATTACTGTATAATGTTTGAAAGACATTTCCGCGTTTAACATAACACTTTGTTATGATTCTTCTTAAACACTGCTTTTATTTGGTGCTTATGGAAATGCAATAATGATGTTTAACTTTATTATACTTAAGTAAACTCTTAACTTCTTAAATA